TTTTCCAGTAAGCAAAAGCATTTCAAAACTAATTTAAATTAATTGGAATTTTTTTTTTATTATTATTTTAGCACCATTTTTTTTAACTTACATTTATTGCAGTGTAATTCTCTTTATTAAAAAAATCCTCCAAAAATAAAATATACTTTTCTGAAGCTTTATTTGTGGAATTAAAAGTATAATTAATTTGATTTAAAACAAATATTTACTTTCAGTTTAAAATATTGCAGAAATGCATTTTTTTAACATGTCAGTAGCTGTTTATTTTATCTGTTCATGTGTTCACAAATTGATGTTGTTTTATGGAGACTATGTCCATAAAAAATAATTGAATATAACATAAGCATCTTTTATATATAATTTTTAAGATCTCAGTCATTTTAAAAATTTAAGAAAATATTCTTCGCACTCTAAATTTTTTTATTGAATTTTAGATACTATCTGTGTTTAAATTTATAGTTATCTCTCTTATTTTCTGATAATGTTGTGTATGGGCATCCATATCTAAAAAAAAAATCAGCAAAAAATTTAAAATTCTTTTAAAAATGTTGAGCTTGAAGATTTGTACTAAGCTTTTCCATTTTTGATTAGTAAATATAAGGTTTTACTTAATAATATCATCTAAAAGGGGTAAAAGTAATACAGAATTTTAAGATTTAAAACTTAAATTATTAACTTTAATTATTCTAATTAAAATTTTTGAAACAATGAAAATGATTCTTGTAAAAATTCATTATTCATTGAAAAAAAATTTTTTCTTAAGATATATTAAGGACACTATTGTCTTATTTATAAAAGCAATTAAAAGCTTTTCTAATTAAATAATGTCATAGTTTTATTGCATTTAAATTCTTCAAGGTGTCCTGCTTTTAACTAATATAAATATGAAGGGAGTGAAATTTAATTTCTTGAAATTTCATAAAATTAAGTGGGTGTATAAAAAAAAAGATATATTTTTGCAAAGGTTTTTTAAAAACAAACTTTGAAAATAATTTCATTCATCTTTCATAAGTCATGAAAATTTCATTAACATCTGACAATTATTTGATTTTTACAAGAATTTCCAAATCGATGTGTTTTTTTTTACCACAAAAAAAAAGCTAAAATTTCCTATACTAATCCCCCAAAAGTTTTTAAGCAAATTTTCAAATGTGCTAGAAAGGCTTAAAAACTGATAAAATAATAAAAAATACTTTGGTCTCTCCTCTTAATAATAACAAAGATTTTGATAATAAATCTTTGTTTTTTATCAAGTTCAGGGCATTTATCATCATGATATGGTCTTTTTCAGTGAATTAGTGGAGGTACCTAATAGCAAATTTAAAACAATATAATTGTGTCTGTGTCAATTCTAGCTCATCAATATCATTCAGGCTGAGTACAATTTATTTTAATAAAATTTAGTATTCAGATAATTTAGAATACCATCCATATTCAGGAGAAGAATTTAATCAGCTAATTATATTCCAATCTAGCTCCTATTCAAGAAATCTATTTTTGATGTAGACATAGGCATCAAAATTACTTAACGACCGGCCATTGTGGAAAAACAGAATTATTTCCCTTTATATGTAAAAATGTTTAAAATAAAGTGACCACACTAAGGTTTGCGAGTCTAACATCTTATCTGACCTAGAAGTACAGTGAGCAGAACTAATTATAATTATTTCCTATGATGGTACTATTACAAAGTTTCTATCAAAATCACATGAAAGGCTTTTGATTACTAAAATCAGCAAAATGTATTTACAGAGAATGGGCACTAGAATATTAAAAATAAAATTGCAGAAATTTTTGCAAGAAATAAACATTTTATTTAAACATGAATTTAAAGTTTCTTGATTTGATAGCAAATTTCTCTAAATTTTTATCATTCTAAATTAAAAAGAATTTGTTGATAGAAATGTGAGCCAGTAAAGACGATCTTTGTTGAGCTATTGAGCATCATAATGACTGAATTCTGTAGTTGTACGAGTTTAACCATTTCTGGCAGAAGACAAGTAACTTCCTGAAGTATCTCTAAAATGCTGTTGCTTTACATACAATTTTTTAAAAGCCATTGTCATTATGCAGATATGAGTTCATTTACTAAGGATTTCTAATCAACATGAGAATATTTGTGGTGAAAAGCATCATTATATATTGCAGAGGGAATAGAGGTCATTAGAAAAAACGTTTTTCTTAAATAAGACAAGTAAATTTTTTGTTTAGTAATGAAATAAAGTAATTTTTTAAATGAAATAAGTAGTGTTTTAAATTGTTTAATTAATATGATTTTTTAAAATTAGACTAAAGGTTTTTTTTGTTTTGTGGTACTTAGTGTGATCTAAACTGAAAAAATAATTATTAGGACTAGTTAGGTCAAGTTCCTAAATAATAATTAGTAGGAGTAATTTGAGTGGTCGATTTTCCTTTTTTTTTTTTAATTCCAGCCATGCCTAACACATAGTGGTTTAGAATTCAAAAAACACAAATAATACCATCTCACACAGTTAAAACAGGAAAAGAAACTAACAACACTCCCTTGAAAATGGCTAAAGAAGTGGCCAAGAGTGTTTGGGACAATGGACGATATAGGCTGTTTCTGAGACGAACACTGGAAACACTAAAAAAAAAAAAAATTAAAAAATTTTCCTTGCCCATTATATTTAATGAAAGATGTTTAAAAAAAAGATTGTTGGCCAAATATATATTAATCATATATATATATATATATATATATATATATATATATATATATATATATATATATAAATGATTAATGTAGTCTAAAATCTATTCCTTTTGGAAAAAATGTATCATTCTTGAATATATTGATAACCCCAACCTACTGAATAAATGAAGTTAACTTATGACTACATGCATTCATAAAAAGAACTTTCTTCTAAAATATTTTGATTGTGGTTTGCACGGCAATCTAGGAATTATTAGAATTACCTTCACTGACTTCTCTCTGTTTTTTTTTGTTTTTTTTAATCTTCTTTCTTCCACTCTCATATACCACTTCTCTCTATTATCACATCTTCCCCCTTATTTATATTTTTAAAAACTTTCTCCTCTTATTTCTATATTAATTTAATATTTATATTAATCTCATATTAACTTCTTATCCATATTAATTTTATTTTACCTTTATTCTATCTTTCTTTTTCTCCCCCTTTTTTTTTATATTAAGTTACCCCTTGGACCATTATTCCCTTCAAATTTAACGGATCTTTCTATAGTTCAGCATCTCCATTTTTATTTTTTATTTTTCTTATATACTTTATTTTTTAACCACACTCTATAAGTCTGCATTTATCCCCCTCCCCTCAATATTAGAATATACTTATTTAATATTACACATTGATTTAATTTACAATATAATGTTGCTTCCATGAGGCCCATAGGTTTTGTAAACAACTGTATCGATTAACTAAACCCATCCCTCGGCTTTATATATTTATATTTTTTTTAGTTTTCCTCATTTGGGTTATGTTTTATATTTATTTCATATTAACTCGATATTAATTTTATATTTATAATAATTCTTATTCTACTTCTTCTACTTTTTATTTTGTCTTTCCTCTTCTTCCGCTTTTCCTTCACTTTCTCCCCCTCCACTTATTTTTTCTACTTTACAATCTTTAGATGCATAAAGTTGCTTCCCTTGGACTGCTTGATCATTCATAGTTTAATGGATTTTTATTTTTATTCTATTTTATTTTACGTTCTTTTCTTAACCACACACTATTTTTTGCATTTATACCCCAATATTAAATTATAATTCAAACGTTAAATCAATATAAAATCTAGCATTGCTCCCATAAGACCCAGAATATTTGAAAACCATCGTATTAAAAAGTTCATAACTATTAGTACCTGACTATTAGTACACACATGAAACTCTGAGTTGTACTACTGATGTAGGTAATATATATATATATATATATATATACACACACACCCAGGGTGTCCATAAAGTTCGTGTGCACTTAAAAATTTATAGCCTTATTTGTATTTGCAACAGAAATAATTTGTAAAAAAGATTAGAAAGAAGTAAATCACTGGGTTTTAAAGACACAGCTAAAATCATGTTTCCATGGTTACAGATAAATCTACTTCAACTAGATTTATCTGTAACCATGGAAACGTGATTTTAGCTGTGTCTTTAAAACCCAGAAAGAAGTAAATCTATATTTTTTTTTTAAGGCTTTATTGAAATTTTATTTAATTTTCCACATGTCCTCCATCATTAGCAATACAAAGGGTGATACAATTTTGCAGTTCATGGCTTACCATGGATGGAGCCTTTCTCTTTAAATGTTTTTCATCCATTTAGCAATAGTGTTCCTATGATGTGGTTCTTTACTGTATTCAATTCCAAAATTTCTTTGTACAACAAAAGTAGATTTCAGTTCAGCCAACCAAAGGACACAGTTTACTTTTTCCTCAGTTGAAACCATTTTTCTGGAAAAAAGAAAATATTTTTTTTACTTATCTAAAAATTGTTGCAAATTTTGGGTTAAAGAATTATTCAATAACTATACTTAAAACTAGGTACATTAAACTTTATAACATTTTTTACAGATTATTTCTATCGCAAATACAAATAAAGTTATAAATTTTTTAAAGTGCACACGAACTTTATGGACACCGTGTGTATGTATATATATATATATATATATATATATATATATATATAAAAAATTTGAAGGTGTGCTAAAAAATTATCAACCTAACCAAAAAACCCTTCAAGAAAAATTCTTGTTTTTGAATAAAACAAATTTGAAAGTTACAATAAATTTTTTTTTGTTTTTTTTTTTTTTTTTTATGTAATGACTTTGCTTTTCAGTCACCCAAAAAGTGTTATTATCATTGTCAAATATTTTAAATAAGTCCTACCCACAATATAATACTTTGTGTAGAAAATTCATGAAACTTCAATTTGTCCTGCCCTCAAATTTGTTTCGCTATAATTCTTCATCTTCTCTCATTGTCTCATATCTTTTGTTGTAGGAATGGTAGCAGAAAAATTGCCCGCCCCCATAAATATGTCAAAAGAACGAATTGAAAAACTGATGTGTAGTAATTCTCGCAGTTTTGATTCTTTACCTCAGAAAAGCCAAGAGTTGGAAAAAGGTAAAAGATTTGCACTGTCTTAGTCAATTAGCATCACAAAAAAATTAGGTTTGATAGTTCAGCTTGTTACATAGGATTGTTCAAATGTTGCATAAAAACAGTTATTTTGACTATATTATTTTGAAACTATAATTTTTGCTTCTAATAACCTTTGCTTATTTTGAATATGTTCAGAGATTTAGAACTTTAACCTCAATATAATCTATTTTAATGTTTTTAGTCTAAAAGCAGAAAATGATTATGAAAAGCCTGCTTGCAGATTCTAAGTATTTGATTAATGAACAAGAATTTTATTTGAGATTTCATTGTTCTGATTTTGTATAAATATTGAACTCTCAAAATGAAACCTCTTTTATTAATCATGGATGATCTCCATTATTTACATTCAGACTAATATCCTCATCTTTATTATTAATAACAAAATTTCAGCCATTGTGTCCTCTGGGTCTTCATCTGTTGATCTAGGTAAGCTTTAGTAAATTTTGAACAGAGTCCCTTATTCAATCTATGGGTGTAGATTGTTCTCATTCTGTTGTCCACAACTACGTATTAAATAAAAGTTTCGGGTTGAAATTCCCTGAAAGTTATGCATATTGATAGCCATCTGAAGCAGGCTGAAGGGCACAATGGCTGAAATGATAACAACAAAGATGAGGATATTAGTCTAAATGAAAATAATTCCTCATCCAAGAAATTCAAAGAGAAATGATGACCTGTCTGGGTGTGTATATTTCATTCTTTGTTTAAAAACTGTTTGATATTTTTTTGACTTTACTATTGATGTTGGATTATTCTGTGAATGATGTGACATTTCCTTGGTCTATATATTTGAAACATGTTCTTCATAAATGTTTTATGGTGATCATCTTTTTTTTTTTTTTTACTTAGATTTCTTGGCCTGCAGTTCAACTGATGATGTTCCTGTAATAATATTTGTGTCCAAAATGGTCCCAGTTGAACGAAAATTGCTTCCCCAGAACAGACCAAGGTAAGAACTTCAATTTCTTCATGTAGGCAAGGCACAGTGGGTTCGTACCAACAAAATCAAGATGGAATATTTCTATACTTTGTCTCTTGTTAATAACTTTGAAGCAAGAAAAGTTGTTCAACACTGTTATTTTTATTTTTATTTCCACTCCACCCCATCCAAATAAGTCTGCTATTATTGATCAGAATTAAAACAGGAATTATTACCAATGTGCATTAACTAAGGATATAAGTGAAAAATCGGCCAAGGAAATGAATGTATTAGCAAATAATGTAGTTTGTATGTTTGTGTTTTCTTTCATTTTCCTTACTTTTTTCTTTTTTCTTCCTTACATTTTCTTTTTGTTTCTCCCTCTCTCTTTCTCCCTCCTCTTTCTTCTTTTCTCTTTCTCCCTCTCTCTTTCTCCCTCCTCTTTCTTCTTTTCTCTTTCTCCCTCCTCTTTCTTCTTTTCTCTTTCTCCCTCCTCTTTCTTCTTTTCTCTTTCTCCCTCCTCTTTCTTCTTTTCTCTTTCTCCCTCCTCTTTCTTTTTTTCTCTTTCTCCCTCCTCTTTCTTTTTTTCTCTTTCTCTCTCCTCTTTCTCCCTCCTCTTTCTCTCTCCTCTTTCTCCCTCCTCTTTCTTTTTTCTCTTTCTCCCTCCTCTTTCTTTTTTTCTCTTTCTCTTTTCCTTCTTTCTTTTTTCTCTTTCTCTTTTCCTTCTTTCTTTTTTCTCTTTCTTTTTTCTCTTTCTCTTTTCTTTCTTTCTTTCTTTTTTCTCTTTCTCTTTTCCTTCTTTCTTTCTTTTTTTTCTCTTTCTCTTTTCCTTCTTTCTTTTTTCTCTTTCTCTTTTCCTTCTTTCTTTTTTCTCTTTCTCTTTTCCTTCTTTCTTTTTTCTCTTTCTCTTTTCCTTCCTTCTTTTTTTTTCTCTTTTTCCTTCTTTCTTTTTTTTCTCTTTTCCTTCTTTCTTTTTTTTCTCTTTTCCTTCTTTCTTTTTTTTCTCTTTTCCTTCTTTCTTTCTCTTTCTCTTTTCCTTCTTTCTCTTTTTCTCTTTTCCTTCTTTCTTTTTTTTCTCTTTCTCTTTTCCTTCTTTCTTTATCATGATTTAAGTAGTATATAAATCTCCAGACAGGAAAAACTTATCTTCACTAGGTAAAGCATTCACAGTCTTTCATGAATTGTTACAACATATTATCTCTCTTAAACTAAACCAAAAGTTTTTTTTAAGCAAAGTTGGCTTCCCATCATTAACACTTTGGAATCCTTAATTATACAAAAACATCCTGCATCATTCATATTCAATTTCATTCAAATTCATATTCATTCATTTTGATTTTACTGGACATAAAGGCTTCAATGATTTATTTAATTGGTTTCAATGACATTGCAAAAGATATAATTTCTAAAAATTTAAAAATTATTCCAGATAGAAATGTAGCACATTGTTTTCTATAATTTACAATTGATGAAGCCAAGACCAAACCTCTGCCTTGATTATGATCCCTTCACTACCTCCCCTAATAGGGATTTATATTTGAACTCTTTTGCCAATTAAACTCAATTTTAATTTTTTGATCACACACAATTTTTCCAATACAATTGAATCTTTATTGCAATTTATTTTTATTTCTCTTCAAGTCCTTTAACAGAAGTTGAATTACAAGAAAAACGACGCCAAGTGTTACAACGGCGTGCAGAGAGACAGAATGCTGGAGAATCTGCAGACAGTTTAAAAGAAAATGGTTTGTGAAAAATTTGGGGTTTTTTTTTCACTTTTTTTTATCCTCACCAAAATTATTGATAATTTTTTCATAAAATTTTAAGGTAAATGTATGGCTCAAATGTTTTCTGCAAAAAAAAAAATCAAATTATTTTAAATGAGGAAAGATGCCTGTAAATGGTTCTATTCTAGTTTGAAAGTTTGTTTCCATTATTCCTTTATCAGTTTTATTCTTCAAAACCTTACAATTGCTTCCCAAAATTGAAATTACTTTTGGCTCCACTTAATCACTCTTTTAATCAGACTATTTTGGTTTTTTCATTGTTCTTCAATTTCTTGAAGAACAATGTCCACATCCTCGTAATTCTAAGTAGAACAATCGAAATAGATATAGATATGATATAGGCCACAACAAGGACGATGGTCTTATAATCGTAAGAAACTAAAAAATTGACTAAAACAGAAAAATAATCATAAAATTTTTCAAAAATATAGGATTCAACATGTACGTAAAAACTAACTTCAAACAAGTAGATTTTTTTAAATGTTTAACAAAACCATTTGAAACAGCCCCTAAAAGATTGTGATTTTTTTAAAATGTTTAATGAAACCATTTGAAACGGCCCCTAAAAGATCGTGATTTTTTTAAAATGTTTAATGAAACCATTTGAAACGGCCCCTAAAAGATCGTGATTTTTTTAAAATGTTTAATGAAACCATTTGAAATGGCCCCTAAACCGTGATTTTTAAAATGTTTAATGAAACCATTTGAAACGGCCCCTAAAAGATCGTGATTTTTTAAAAATGTTTAATGAAACCATTTGAAACAGCCCCTAAAAGATTGTGATTTTTTTTAAAAATGTTTAATGAAACCATTTGAAACAGCCCCTAAAAGTTGTGATTTTTTTAAAATGTTTAATGAAACCATTTGAAACAGCCCCTAAAAGATTGTGATTTTTTAAACTGTTTAATGAAACCATTTGAAACAGCCCCTAAAAGATTGTGATTTTTTTTAAACTGTTTAATGAAACCTTTTAATGAAACCATTTGAAACAGCCCCTAAAAGATCGTGATTTTTTTAAAATGTTTAATGAAACCATTTGAAACGGCCCCTAAAAGATTGTGATTTTTTAAAAATGTTTAATGAAACCATTTGAAACGGCCCCTAAAAGATCGTGATTTTTTAAACTGTTTAATGAAACCATTTGAAACGGCCCCTAAAAGGTCGTGATTTTTTTAAAATGTTTAATGAAACCATTTGAAACAGCCCCTAAAAGAACGTGATTTTTCTGCAACACTCACACATACACACTACACAGTACAAAAAAACACCAACAGGAAAAGGAACATCATCTGGTTCAATCCAATGTAAAACAAAAACAAATGTAATAAAAATATTCATTAAACTCGTATGCAAACATCCTCCCCCAACAAGCACTCTCCACAAGATATCCAAGAGAAACAGTAAAAATCAGCTACAGGTGCATGAAGAACATGATACCAATAAAAAACACACAACAGAAAAAAAAACAACAAATCACTAACAAAAAAACCCAAACCACCTCTAAGTGCAGAGCACAAAAATCTAAATAAACAAATTAAGAAACTACAAACATACACATAGACACAAGTAAAAGTAATAATAAAAAAAAAAATAATAAAGTAATCAATAATAAATAGTGAGTAAAAACTTAACTAACAACATTATAAAATGACTACAAATAACTGCATTCATATCCACAATTATTTCTACTCAATAGCCTCAAGAATAAATTACTTTTCACCCAATAACTGTGAGGATCATACAATAATTCTTACCCATAATGCACCACTGACCAGCATCTATAGTCAAGTCAAAGCACAACACACATGGCCTGAAGATTGCATGAAACAGTTTATCACTGCTTGGTGCTGACCTCTTTTATATTTATATATGCTGAAATATCTGTGATATTTAGCACTTTTAACCATAAATATAGCATACCTTAAAGCTATATTTTTACTACATATATATATATATATATATATATAAGTGATATAATTATATAAATCAAGATGACAAGTGATTTTTATTGCAGATGAGAAGGTGACTGAAGTAAACAGTGCGAATGAGGAGAACAAACAGTCCGAGCATGTGTTTGTAGCTTTTGCTCGGATCTTCAGTGGGACTGTCCGGAGAGGTTGCAAGTTGTATGTCCTGGGACCAAAACATGATCCTGCTAAAGTTTTAAATGTCAGTGCTTTTTGTTTTTGACTTTTAAATTTTTATTTGTCTTCAAATAAATTTACTCATACTTATCTACATACCACTGTCTCTTGACAAACTGACTTTGCTGTCGTAACTTATCTTACTACCCATGAATCTATTAATATTTCTATTGAAGAGGAAAACCTTCTCTTCCATTCAGCAACTAAAAAAGCCTTTTGCCAAAGTCATTTACAAGTTGGAATCTACTTGACTCAACCCACTCAACTTAAAGACAAAATTATTTTTTTACCTTGGGCAATGTAAGAGATATTAAGTCAAGATTAAGTCTAAATAAAGGACAAGGAATGAAATTATGGTATGTCAAATGATGAGTGGCTTTTTCTCTCTCTTCCTTTCACATATAAATTTATTTTAATACAGGTTGAGAATCCTTTATCTGAAATTCTTGAGACTGGATGTTTTCAGATTTTGGAATACAGGCTATTTAATTTGTATATAGCATCTACAAAATAGGGCAGCTTGGGAATGGAACTAGAAAGCATAAACACGATATACCTTTACATTTCATAACACAGCTTATAAAGGGTGTTTCATTAAGACAGATTATATATAAGGGTGTTTCATTAACATGGATCAAAGTCAGCATTAAATAAATCAGTGTTATTGGTGAAAATATATTTATTTCTCTATTAGATCATGTTATTTAAGTCATGGCAATTATGTGTGTAAAATATCACCCAAATGTCCACAAAATCTGAAAGAAAAAGAAAAAAAAATCATTTGACACTTAAACTTAATTCACATTTAAAATCAGTCCAAGTTATTGAAACACCCTTTACATATACCCTGAAGGTAGTTTTATTTCAATGACATATACCCTGAAGGTAGTTTTATTTCAATGACATATACCCTGAAAGTATTTTTATATAAATAATATATGCCCCGAATGTAGTTGTATTTAAAATTTCATAAATTTTGTGTACATACAAATACAGGTAATGACACTAGTTATGTAATTCTCACACAGATTTTTAGGCGAGGAAATTAAGATTTCTCATAAAAATAATGTTTTATACTTTCTGATTGTGTACAAAAAAACATGTTCGCTACTTACAAAAAATATATAAATGCAGGACTTTTTGACATTTTGAATAGTTTTACTGAGCACAAAACACCCGGTAAGTAATCCACAAACAAAGGTGTTTCTGTGACAATTGCTACAAAAAAAATTTGCCCCAATGTAGCTGGGCTGTGGATCCCTCACCCACGGCAGATGGAGATCACTTACAACAGCTGTACCTAGAAACCTTCCCAGTGGTTTTTGAAATGTTCCATTTGTGAAAAGTCATGTCAGCACTTGAAAAACTTTTGGATTTGGGAATTTGGGATTAAGGATACTCAACCTGTATTTTAATCTTTGTGTGGGTGTAATTTTAAAATATATGAATTGTGTTACAATTTTGGAAAGTACACACTTTTATGAATTTTTAAAAATATTTTAAGTGCTTCTTGGATTTAATTAATTTTTATTTCTTTTATGTATATAAAGAAAATAACAAGAACATTTTATTTTTGTTAGAGGTTAATCATTTATAATCTTTCATTAAATTTCTTTGCAGGATTGTGAAGAAACATTTAGTGCCTCAAGTAATTTAACAGTCAGTGAACTGTCCACTAGTCAACATATTACATCATTTGTGGTTGAAGATATTTATATGTTTATGGGTAGAGAACTTGAACTTATGGAAGAGGTGCCTGCTGGAAATGTTTTAGGTATGTACAGCCAACAGCGTTGACTTTTCAATGGAGAAATTATTCCTTAATAGTAGATTTCTGTTTGTTGACAATGTAACTCTTAATTTTGGTGAAGATTACTCTTTGTCTAAGTTTTTTTTTTTTTTTAATTTTCATTTCAAAAGGAAAGTTAGGACAATGTTGTTTCGATAAAAATTGAACAATTTTGAATTTACAACCTGTTGTAGCATGCCTACAGACGATAATGGCTATGCCCCCATTCCCATAAAGTAGTAAATACTGTATGTTGGTCTAGAGTTAGATTCTTTGTGGAATTCACTTGACTCACTTTTAGCAATTGACTACTTCTTCTCCACACCGCTGGCGAACCTTATATGTGTTGTTCTTGTCCTAAGTATTATCATTTATTACCAACCTTCATTTGATTATTCTATTCAGTAATCTTCTCTAGGTTACAACACAACCATGGCATGATTTAGATCTCACTTTGCCATCAATTACATTCCACATGAAACTGAATCTCGTTTTCAATGCACTCAGAATTATTTAATTTTTTGCTCAGATAAATTTGTATGTCAACATATGGGGAGACCCACAAAGGGAAATTTGAACTGTAGGGTGTTCATTATATTGATGTCCCTTATTAATATATTTGTAAGCAGTGGCATGGTTGGTGCCATTGGAACTAGGTGATGGGGGTGGGGATAAGCTGCAAGAGAAATGGTCAAATAGAAAGCCATAGAGAAAATCCGTGTACATGTTGGGAAAAACAAAGAGGCAAATGTGATGCATTCCAATTTTTCTTTCCAAAATAAAAGAGAAATATCAGAATCTCATAAATCTGTGAAACCATAAAATGGATGCTTGAACACTCATCTGTTCTCATTCTCTGATCTGTCAGTTCTACTACTATAAATAAAATAGTATAGGCCTCTGCTGTCTTAACTCCTTACCCACCAATTATTTTGGGAAAAACATTTCATTTTCAGACAATTTTTTTTATTTGTCTTTAATAACTAAGGCACCTTAAAGTATGTGAGCAGTGGCTAACACCTCTGCCAGACATATGAGTTGACAATTGGATTTGTTTCAAACTCAGAAGATCATAAAAAGAATCATAATCAACTTATAAACATGTCTGTAGCTGGTTTATGAACATTATATTTTGGACATGTTTATTCATCTGTGTCTGAAAAATTCTTGTCTTTGGATTCTTGCGTAGTGAGCCAACGCAGGAGTATTCTATCGACACATTATCAATGAGTCCTCTCGTGAGAGTAAAGTCCAATTCTAGAGTCGCAAGCCGTATAAAGTGGGTTCTGAGTGCTACTGTTGGTCTTCCTCTTGGCACATTTCTCAACGAGGAGACTGGTACACCTGTTCTCAAAGACATCGATGCCCTCTTTGCAAATTCTCCTCCAGGTTGCACAGGTGTGGGTAGTACTTTCCCAGCTATCAAGGCCGATGTCACATCTTTTGAGATTTTCCTTGTACTTCGGTTTTGGTCTGCCTAGTGATTTGCCATGCTCGAATTCACTGAGGAAGATTGCTTTGGAAATTTCATCTGCCATACATGCCCCCACCCCACAAAGCTGTCTTGATTACCTGGCTTTCTATGCTGGGTACAACACATTGTTCTAGGCCCTTCACATTGGGGACTTTATCCTGCCATTTAATTCTGCAAATGGATCACAGTCAGTGTTGCTAGAACAGCTTGAGAATCTTGATATGGCAATGATAGACTGTCCATGTTTCACAACCATACAAAAGCGTGTTGTGAATATATATTGATTTTGCTTCACATCATGTTCATCCCCTAGCCATTATAAATAATTCTGTAGCTCATTTTCAAATGTTATGTTTTGGACGTGTTTATTCGTCTGTGTCTGAAAAATACTTTCGGTAAAAATGTATATACACATCTTGGCTCTCACTATTGGTAATTCTGAATTTATTCAAAAATTTTCAAAGAGAAAATATAGCAATTTTCTTTTTTTCTGCTAGCATGTCTTCTCTTGTGATCAATCCCCACTCAACCACTTCACTACACCTAGTTCCTAAACTGTCATGAAAAAATTGATTTTTTTTTTTTTTTTTTTTTATTATTAACTGTTTATCAAATGAACTACCCCCCCTTTTTTTTTTGAAGGAGTCATAAGAATTCAGAAGACCAAAAAACAATGTATGATATTGATGTCACTTTGAGCAGTTTAATCACCTGAGTTATTCAGTTCCTAATTTACAATTAAAATATTCTAAAACATGTTCAAATAAAAGTTTCTGAATTAAAGATAACGGAATTAATCATTAGGCAAAAATATTAATGGTTGGATTCTTTTATTTTTCCACAAATACCTCCCAAAGAATATTCTATTTTGAAAATTACCATGGATATCTTTTCACAGTTGGATGTTCAACCAAGCCCTACATATCAAAAGTCTAACCCTTACAGTAAAAATACAAATGGTATGAATAAAACATAGAGATGTGCCAGAAAGTAATGTTTATTTGATCTTTTTGTACAGGTCTTGGAGGCTTAGAGGAACATGTTCTAAAAACAGCAACTCTGTCTGAAACAGTGGCTTGCCCAGCATTTACTGACATGTACTTTGAGGCATCACCTATTGTGAGGGTAGCCTTGGAGCCCCAAAATATCAGTAAGTAAAAAATTTATTTACTATCACCCAGTTTATTTGTTTATGTCTAAATGTGTACACACACACGAGAAAAATGATTATTAAGAAGAGAGAACAATAAAAGAAGAATTAAGAAGACATGAGATAATGATTGACATTGCATTTAAATTTTTGAAGATCAAGTGCAAACACCGATCACTCTCCCTGGTGCAATGAGAGGGCACAGCCTCAAGCAGCTGTTCCCCAGGGATGGGCACCTCTCAGTATAATTTTCCTCAGTTGCTTCTGTCACCACTGAGTGCCCTCTGCCCAAGGACAGAGACACAACTGAGATAAATAATGTGTTACAAACTACTCAAGAGGAATTTACACACTATATTTACTAGGTCGCTGGTCTTAGCTTTTCCAAGCTGGTCATAGCTGTGATACTACCAGCGCAGGGATGGATCCCTATGACCGGCAAGTATCCAAATGTGTATGCCCCTCAAGAGAGGAATTTACACACTAAAAGCTCTGTATTATATATTATTGACTTCTAGACAATATCAGTTTTCAGGTTTAACTAATTTGCATATTTATTTAAAATTATATTTCATAATTAACTGTCCTTCATTACTCTTCTTTTATTGTCTTGATTTTCATATCAAAAATAGTTCTGTTTAGGAAAATTGTCTTATATAGTGCAGAAAAGTGTTTGAGATTTGCATTTTACTTGGCCTTCAACAAGTTGGCATCTATAATTTGTAAAACTTTCCTTAACTATAACAAGCCTGCCCCCACATCCGACCAATTAATTTCTTCTGTCTTTACAGTCATATTCTTTGAACAAATATATTGAACATCCATAACCCCTTCAACATTTCATAAATAATAAACATTAATCCTATAGAAAAACAATTAGGTTATGTTTTTCATTAATGCAAATACATGTATTTTATTTCTGTCAACACCTGTTAAATGTTATTGTGTTTCACATTTCATTTGTTTAAAAATGGCTAAAATTCTAATGTTTAGCTCTCTGAATAAATACAAATGTTTTCTTTCATGTTTACAACCAATTTATGAATGAAATGTTCATTTAAAATTTTTGTTTCAAAGATTTCAAGTAGTGAATATATCTTACTTTGCAAAGTGATAGCAAGCAGGCAAAGCCTTCTAGTTTTAATATAATTATAATTTATATCTCTTTGAATGGATTTCATTTTGATTGACATCTGTTTTACTTAATTTTATTCATTGTTTCATTAAAACTTCTAGTAAAAACTATCAATATCCACTTTTGTTTTTCAGATTAATTTTGGTTTACAGGAACTTTAGTGTAACTTTCAGCCTCTAAATTCTTGCATATATGAACATATTATTTATAACAATATCTTGTGTTTTTGTTGTCTTTGTTAGTGAACATGCCACTTCTTGTCAAGGGATTACGTCTCCTGAATCAGGCTGATCCATGTGTAGAAGTTCTTGTACAAGAAACTGGTGAACATGTTATCGTTGCAGCTGGAGAAGTACATCTACGGCGATGTATAGACGACCTGACAGATAGGTAAGTATATATGTATATCTAGTAGGTGTAAAGAGAAATGACAATGCCTCTTATATTTCGAAAGAACCTTATTGACAGAAGATTTTTCTTTTTTCATTACAACTAAGAAAACTACAAATTTCTATCAATAGAAGCTGGCAGACAATCTTATAATTACATGCACAAAATTCTGTGTTTATTATTTAAATTTAAAAACGGCATCGTTTCAACAATATCTGGGAGTTACTTTTGAACGATGACAGTTCTCGTATATTGAGTGGCTAAGAAAGTTTCTAATTATTTCCTGCATTCAACAAAATTTATTATTTCTCAAAAAAGAAAGCCATTCTTCAAACTAGTTATCATACTCAATAAATTGAAAAACCTTGCAAACTTGGCATGAAATTCTCTCACCAGACAAAACGTCACAAATTTAAATACAGTACTAGATTGGCAGCTAGGTCTCATCATTTTACTATTGAAGTTGCTACATGTAGGCAGAAGTACGATGCTAATAGTTTCAGCTGTTGCACTTCTCACTTGTGAAACTCTCTTCCAGCTTCTTGCTTTCCTGTCAACTACAATTTTCAAAAATTTACATGGCATTTGTCAATCATCGCTTGTCTCCTTGAAACTTGTCTTAACATTTTATCAGTTTCTTTCACTTTCAGTGTGTCTTAGTGGCTTTATTACCTTGCTTGCAGGTGAACTGATTTAAAAAAAAACTCAATGTCTAATATTGAATTTTATGATAGTCTGATATCTAACATAACCAAATTAAACTTATCATTAGAATGTCACTGCTCTTGTTTCAAACATTTTTATTTCAATACATTTAAGCAACAGAAACAAGATAAAAGAAATAACTGGCAATGCTTCATTTAGTAGATTCAAAATTTTTTCATATTAGCTTGTGTATGTAAACATTAAAACAAAGATAGTTGCAAATCAGGCATTTGGGAGAAAAATAAACAATGTAAACTATATGGTTATATTTGAGCTTTTGTAACCAACAGCCTTCATGGCCTAATTGGTAAGGCAGCTGCCATGGACAGGTAGGTTTACTAATTAAAATGGATGTGAGTCAGAGGTTTTTTTTTGTTTTTTTTTTTAATCTGCACTACTTACTAACTGTGGTTTCAAAGTTGAGATAAAAACAAAATGAAAGAAATAAATGTTAAAAATGAAACTTCCTGTAATTCTTCCTCCAAATTAATGAGTTTTTAATGGTCATTCCTACTTATGGCATGTGTAAGACATTCAGCATTCCTATAGAATGGTCCCAATGGAATTGTTAATGTTTACACACATCTATTTTATGAGAATCAAAAAAAAATTAAAACTTGTCAGTGTGGTTCTAAAAGGACATGAGTTGACATAGGCCCTATTTACATGTTTTTCCATTTTTGAAATGAGCAAACAAATTTCTATAAAGATGACCTAGACAATATTATGAAACAATTTATTTTTTTTCAAGTTACAATTTTTTTAAAATCATATGCATTTTTATTCTGAATTTTTATCGTTTAAGATTTTTTTTTTTTTTCTAATTTCACCAAAAAATGCATTTATCCCATTTTAACATAACATAACAAACTGAAATAAAAGAAATTTCTGGTACTGTTGGGTGAGCAATTTTCTTTGGTTAGAAATATTGTGAAGATTTTTTTTTTTTTTTTTTTTTCTAGATATGCTAAGTGTGCTATCAATGCTTCATCACCAATTGTACCATTCCGGGAAACAATTGTTGAACCCCCAAAGACCGACATGGTGAATGAAGCCATTTTACAAAGCAACATCATAAAAACTTCCAGAATGCGTGAGATGGAAGAGGATGAAGAAGTGATTGAACCTGGACTCATTGAACTGCGTACACCTAATCAAAAATGTGTGATTCGTATTCGAGCCAAGCCACTTCCAGAGTCTGTCATCAAGCTGTTGGAAAACAGTACAGATATTTTGAAGAGCCTTCAGGTGCACATCAAGAAGGAAATTTCTGGCAAAAATAACACACATGAAGTAAAAGCCATCAATGAAACTCTTGCAGAAAATGTCACAAATTTGCACAAGCAGCTTGAAGATACCTTCACCAAAGCTGGCAAAGAATGGAATGGGATCGTTGATCAAATCTGGTCATTTGGTCCCCGTTATGTTGGCTGTAATATGCTCATTAACCATATCCCTACCTACAAGCGTCCTTCAATCTGGAAGTACGTTGAAGGAAAAGTGGGTGCCCTGCGCAGTTTTGACAATAGCATTATCAGTGGTTTCCAAATGGCAACTCTTGCAGGTCCACTCTGTGAAGAACCTATGCACGGTGTGTGCTTCTGTGTTGAACAATGGGACTATGAAACTGATGTGGTCAATGGAAACATTTCTCACTCACTGACTTGTGCCAATGGTGATACAATGACCCCAGAGAGAAATAGTACAGAAGAAAAGGAGCGGGGCTTTGCTAAAGAACTGGCTTATGGACCATTCTCAGGACAACTTATGTCTACAATGAAGGAAGGATGTCGGAAAGTTTTCCAGACACAACCTCAGAGGTTAATGGCGGCCATGTACAAGTGTAATATTCAAGCCACTGCTGATGTATTGGGTGAGTTGTATTTTTCATTTTAAAATTTCTTTTGTCCAGTCTACTGACCTAATTGGATAATTGACTTAATTCAAGAAAATTTTTTGTATTTGTTAAAGTAATGTTTGTTAGATATCTAATTTTGTATCAGAAATTTTCTGGATACAGTGTAATATATTGATGCATTTCTTAAAAAGCATATTTTGCTGCTTATAAGACATGTTATTTTTTTTTTCCTATAAAATATCTCCAAAAACCGCTTTGCATCCTATAAATCAAAGGTTGGCAACAGTTGTAAGTTTGTGATTTGGGTGTCAGATCTCCAGTTACGTCCAATTCTGAGCCCTTGAGTCTTAACCTTATTTCTGTATCTGAATTTATATGTGTCTAATTTAAAATTACTGTTCCATCCTGCTTTGTAATGAATTCTTCACAATTAATGAGGATTTCAGACTGCAATAATGTTAGTTTTAAGTAGTATTATGCACTCTGACTGCTCTTCTAATTATTAGTAGACATTCATTTATCTCAGGAGATAGAAATCTGCAGGAATTTCCAGAAAGTTGTCAGTGTTGACAGCCAACCACCTTTGGGGGTCCACTATGGGTTTTCTCTCTGGATGTACTTCCATAGCCTTTTTTCCGTGTTTAGATAGGACGTCTAAGCAGTGGAGGTTTAAAATCAGGGTTTTCCTTCCCCTAGTTGGACTGTCTTCCTGGGCTGTCAAGCTCCAAAGTAGCTGCTTATGTGGCGCCAGTTACTTCGCTCATTCTACAGCTTGGAGTTGGGCTTTGTTGTCAGGGGCTATTTGAGATGCATATCACGGAAGCATTTTATAGATAGTGGGAGTTCCAACCCTCTCCCATCACCTTTGGCTATGACAACCTTTGGTTGTTATAGCGAAGGTGATATGTAATGCATATATATTTATGTGTGTGTATATATATATATATATATATATATATATATATATATATATATATATATATATAAAAAGATTTCAATGATTTAAAATCAAAAAACCAGATTCACTTATTTTGTTTAGAATTGTTCTTTATTGTTAATTTTACAATATTTGTTTCATTTTCTTACAAATCACAAAATATACATAATTATGCATACGTTTATCATTGGTGGATACTCGTATTTGAAATAGACGCCCCATTTTTATTTTTACCTTAAACCGTGAGTTGGTTCCAATCATTTCGGAATGGCTGCAAAACATCCCCCCCTCCCCAAGGCAGAAGCATAAAATTGCATGCTAGGATTTCTTCCTAGCGGATAAAATAGACTGGTTCTCAGTTTCATCTGCCTCGGTCCTGGTCTGTCTTGTCTTGAAGTCAGAATGCTACGTACATTTATCCAAATTTCCTTTCATGCGTCAACTTCAAATTTTAGATTTGTGAACTTTTTGCTGTATTACTGTTGCTTTTCATTATTACTGTTAATTTGTCTTGCATGTATTGTTTGCTTGCTTTGTATTATTTTTCGCCCTGTTTTTGTTATAGCTTATTGCAAACTTTGTTGATTCTGGGCCATTCTGACATTTATTTTACATTTAACCATGACTACTCACTCTATGGCCTATGGATTCAAGAAAGGTGCTCTTTGACATTTTCTTTATTGAGGTTTCTCAGATACATAGGCTGATAGATGTAAATACACACTGTTTAAATTAAAAATAAAAATAGGGTGTCTATTACAAATACAAGTATCCATTATAACAGTTGATGTCATAAAAATGCCTGATTAAAATACATCAATTCTTTAGATAATCCTGTATATGTAAGATTTTAAGAAATATTAGAAACTTTTTTTTTTTTTTTTTTAATATCTAATTCTTCAGAGAAAATTTTCATGGTTGTTTTTTTTTTTTTTTTTTTTTTTTTTTTGCAGGTAAACTCTATGCTGTGCTTGGTAAGCGTAATGGACGTGTATTATATGAAGACATGCGTGAAGGCACTCAGGTATTCATCATTCAAGCAGTTCTTCCGATTATTGACAGTTTTGGCTTTGCCGAAGACATAAGAAAGAAAACAAGTGGCCTTGCAAGTCCACAGTTGACATTCAGCCATTGGGAGGTGAGTTCCATCCTGGTATTCAGCCGTTCTTCTTTTTTTTAGAAAACTATTCGAAACTGGTTTAATGTAAATTGTCTGGAAACCTGACAATGCAATTCTAAGAAATTCTGAAACTTGATGTCTCTTTTATGACTTTTGCAATGATGTATATTATTGTGCCCATCTAACAAGTACAAAATTCCCTTTTTATTTTAGCTGTTTACTGCAAAATACAGAAATGGTTTATAAATGTAAACAGCATAGAAAATGATAACTTGCGACAAGAATTTATAAATTGATAGAGAATTTCTTTAAAAGTCCCTAGTTCTGAAGTCAGGCCATGTGTGTTGTCTTTTGGCTCAATTATTTATATATGCTGGTCAGTAGTGCATTATGGGTAGCTCTGTTATATTATTCTAATGGATATTTGGATGGGTGATAACTGTTACATTTTGAATTATTCTAGAGTGCAAATAATTGTGGATCTGAATGCAGTTTTGTGGCTATTATATAGTGTTTAACTTTTTACTCATTATTTATTATTTGTTGGTTGGTATTATTATGCTGTTTATGTGCATGTTACTAGTTTGTTAATTTGTTTATTATTTACTTAATTTATTTACATATGTGCTATCCCTGATATTGAGCACTTTCACCCATAAATATAGCATACTATAACACTATATTTTATCATAGTGTCTGATAAACAGTAGAGCACATTTGCTATATTTATAACCTATCAAGTACATGGAAAAGATTAGCCTTGAGATGGAAAGTGCATTTCTTTTTAAATCAAGAAAAAATACAGCTTTAAAGGAATGTTTCCCTGCAACACAAGGAAATGGACTATTTCAACAAAGACTTGACTAACTTAGTAAGAAACATAAAAGTTCATAAACAATTAGATGCATTCCAGAAAAAAAACTAAAAGGAAATATAATTAAAATAAATAATTCACCTAATGTATTTATTGCAGTGGACAAAACTAGAACTAAGTCCCCTAAAACATACAGAAAAGCACCAAAAATCCACAGAATATGTTATTAATATGGAAGTTAAAACAATTGCCCAGACATTAAACCAAGACAACTGAATAAATTGCATCACTAAAACACAAGCATTTATCACACTAGAAGACATCAATAAAAAAAATTTCAGAACAAACCCAAAATGCAGACTCATAAAGCCAACCAAAAGTGGATAAGTTAACATAATACTAGAAAGAATTAACTCAGAACTAAGAAAAAAAATTAATATAAAACAGTGAAAAAAACACAAAACAACTATAGACTGGTTCCATAACCTAAAAAACAAACATAATTGCTAATTTATACAACCAGATATAAAGACTTCTACCCTTCTATAACAGAACCTATGCTGGATAAGGCCATTTCCTTAAGAACAAATAAAAATAAACACAAAATACAAATCATTAAACACTCAAAAATAATTGTTATTTGACAACAAAGTCCCATATATGAAGAAATAAGGGACATTTGACAATACATTGGGAAGCTTTGATGGGGTAAAATCCTGTGAGCTCATAGGTATATGTTTAGTACATGAACAAAATAAAATAATCAATAAAAAAGATATAGGCCTCTACAGGGATGACTGTCATACAGAAACCCTAATGACACACAAGTTCCAACTACCCACCATCAATAATCAAATAGATATCACAATCAATCAACCACAGGTTATCTGACAATTCTTCCAGTAAAACCACCTTCATTGAAACCAAAAAAGATTATGAAACAACCCTAAATGATAGTGGTTCAATCCACTGTACAACAAAAATGTAAAAACAAACATAGGAAAAATATTCATTAAGCAGTAAAAATTGGCTACCAAAACAAAAAAATATACATAAGAATAACTGAAAGACCCGGGAAACCAAAATAATATGCACACAAAACATCCTTTACAAATAGTAAATATGTGACTAGCACAATGCTTTCAAAATATATCTGGGAAATTAAAACAAAGATCAAATAACATCAAAGATATGGAAAATAAGGTAAACAGCATCAGCTTACAGCAATAAATCTGAAAACTGTAAACTCTGTCTGGAGGAGAAAATAGTTATAATTAGCTTTCCAGATCAACATCAGTTATTAAATAAACGATTAGACCTCATCTCAAAATGCAAACAAAAACAAATTTTTACTAAGTTACTTAAAAGTTGAAAGCTAAAAAACAAACAAAAGTAAATTTAAAAAATAAAATAAATAAATTAACTTTTACCATGCTAACTTCTTTCTAGAATTGTTTTCTTTGCTACTACATTTTTTTTTTATTTTTTTTTTTGTGGATGCAAAAACATGAGCACCTACTGTTTTAAAATTGTTATAACTTTCTTTGTATTGTTCTCTCACTTGGTCATAGAACTGCATCACAAATTTATGACCTGCGTCTGCTATTCCATGACCATTATCATAGCATAGCAAACTTCTATGTCAACATAACAAAATATCATCGTGGATGGTCAATATCTTTGTTTAAATGTCCATATAACCATTCTGAAGATGGCTTATGTGAGCAGAAAACTTAAATCAATGAATAACATAATAAAAAAAAAAATATGCAAATGTTGAACACTTTTTGCCTTTATTTTCTCCCGAAATTAAAGCCACTATACGAAGTTTAGAACAGCTCATGATCAAACATAATAGATATTCGTTGTCTGTTATATTTAACAATATATGTTTGAATACATATATATATATATATATATATATATAAATATATATAAAATTTGTCACTTAGCTGATTGATATTATATTCAGCATCCCAACTCCAAAGTTTTGTAGATGAACCCTCCAGTAATCATTCCATCCACTCGTCAGGAGATAACAGCAACTGACTTTTTCTCATTTTCATCCTTTCTATATTAAGTTAAGAAATGAGATAATAATATAGAAAATTTTATATATCAAGAACAATTTTGAGGGAAAGATGTGTGACAAAGTGGAAAAAGTCTTTGTGTAATGCGTTTCGTTCTTTAAGACTTCATCAGAATAAGTTTGTTTATGTTGATACTTCTATACATGCACATGAACAGTGGATGCTGGGAATTTTAAATTGAAAATTTTATATATACCGGGTGTAACAGCAAAACTGTCCAATTGTTAGATTAAGCTTTAAACCGTTGTATCTTAGAAATGATTAAAGATATCTTAGTGGAATTCTCCGGGGTTTTTATAACACTATTGGACTCTACTTTGAACAATAAGAATGTATTTAGCTCTCCGTTGAAATGATGATCTCTCTTCTTGTTGTGATGTCCTGATGCAGTTTTCCTCTCTACTGTTCCCTCTTTTTAAACTTATTTACCGTTCCCTTGATTGTCCTTGAATGGGCTTTGAAGATGGAAGCCAGAATATGAATGGTTGTACCATTACTGAAGGCCTGAATGATTTTTTTTTCCTCTCACCATTGCTCATTTGGGAAGACATAGTGGGGCTGACACAACACAATTTTAACCTGTTCTCTTTCTAGCTGAATAACTCAAAGGATTTTTCAGTGATTCTTACGACAAATGGTGTCAAGATGGCTAAACAACTGAAAACCTGAAAAAAGAAATTCAATTAGTTCAGTGTTTTTTTTAGATATTAAACATTTTGTGGGATGAACAATTATCCTATGCTGTTACATGATTTGGATAATTTTACTGTTACACCCTGTGTGTGTGTGTGTGTATATATATATATATATATATATATATATATATATATATATATATTATTATAGTGTGTGTGGTATAAACGAAAATTGGAAAAAAATTCTTAGTTCTTGTCAGCATGTTTCGTCATCTGACTTTATCTAAGCAAGCAATGAAAGCAAAATGTTTCGTAGCCATAGATACATCAAATCCGAAATTTTAAAGAAAAGAGATGCCCCTGCATAACCCTCTTTCTGGATATTGGTAACTTTCTTTTTAATAAGATTTTTTGTTTTTCATGTAGACAATATAGTTAAATTTCCCAAAATAATTCTGAAAATGTGACAAATTGGTTTAAAAATGACAATTGGAAAAAAAGTCTTGCCGACACATTTCATCTTCCAACTTTATGAAGGCAAGCAATGAAAGCGAAATGTTTTGTAGCCACAGTTACATCAAATCCAAAATTTAATTTTTTAAATTTTGGATTTGATGTAACTAAGGTTGAAACAAAGGTAGCAGATTCAACTGTCCTGATTTTTAAAGTTAAAAGCTCTACAAGTTATTTTTAGTTTTATTTTATTTTTTCACACATGTATTGAGCAATTTTTAATACTAGTTTCCTGGTCTGATTCAACTCTGACCATTAACCTTATATATATCTATATATATATATATATACTAGCTGATTTAATTTAGATTCTTTTTCTTTTTGTTTCCATCACTTTGGCTATTAAATCCCCCACATTGTGATAACAGAAACTCTGCCAAGAAGGATGAAACATTGTAAGAACCTGGACGCAAATTTACTGTTGCTGAACTAGTGATTAAAGTCCTTTCTGTGCATTTTTATCTTACTCAGTTGTTTTCTCTTTTAATTAGCATAGCATTTTTATATCAAAATTGTGGTCAGTCTCATTATGGTGAGCAGTTAATGTGTTTAATGTGTTGTTTTGTAAAATATCCCTTTTGTGTTCATATAATCTTTTAATTTAACTTCTTGAAGTTTCTCTGATGCAATCTTTGTGGTAATCATTACAGGTGATAACGTAAATTCCCCCTTCAAGTTTTACCCTATTGCTTTGTTTTGTATTAAGTCTTTTATTGTTTTAGACATAGTTGTAACATAGTGGGTAGAACAATTTTTTTTTTTTTTTTTGATTCATTGGTTTTGTCAGGAGAAATCACTTTTCTATTTTGGAATATTTTATGAGCCTTTTTAATCACTAGTTCATCATACACAGTAAATTTGTGTCCAGGTTCTTACAATATTTCACCATTCATGGCAAATCTTCTATTATCACAATGTGGGATATTTAATAACAAAGGTGATGGAAACAAAAAGTATCTAAATGAAATTGGTTAGAATAAAATAAAGAAAAAAATTTAATCTTACAGCATCTCTTGTTCATGCTAAGGGTCGAAACATGTCACACAAAAACTTCCTACTTTGTCATATAATGTTCTGAAAATAACCTGATTAAGAATTGCCCAAATCAATTTCTTAATGATCAAGTTTTTTAGTTTCTTTCTTGTCTTTATATTCGAATAATTGAACAGGAATTAATGAAATTCTCCATATTTAATTAATTATATTAAACAAAGGGAAAAGGTTAGAAATGAAAGCTGTTTCATTTGTAGAAAGAGCAATAATAGTTAGTGGACTTAAGAAAACATTTTCCCTCAAAGATTGTTTCAATAAAAACATTTTATAAATTTCAACCAGCAGTAATGTTAACTGTTTGGTCAATGAGTGGCAAAGGTTTCCTATATGGAAACGGTTAATTTCACCGTTACCAATGTATTATCTTTTTAACAATTTCTATTTGCAGAACTTTCATTAACTATCATTTTGTTTATCTGGATTTTAATTGCTTTTCATCCCATTCATGGGCATGAGTAAACAGCACAGATCAGAAGTAAAGACGGCCCCTGCCTTAATGCCTGCTTTATTACTGACCAACTGTCATGTTCACTTAGTAGTAAAGCAAGCCCGACCTTCCAACCACCCTGCCCCCCCCTTCCAGGGCAAAAGAGGAGGAAAGTTCAAGTTTCACCAAGAGTTTTTTTTATTAATGTCTAATCAGTGCTGTTTACTGACAACCATGGATTGTCTGATGAGATGCAATGGAATTAAAGAGAAAAGAAAATGGTTCATTTTGGTAACATCTTCTCTTTTATCTTTTTTGGCAAGAGATTTTTTTTTCTTCTTCTTATTCTTTACTTTTTAATACTTCCTTGGCAGGTTGTAGACGTGGATCCATTCTGGGAACCTGTAACAGATGAAGAATATTTACATTTTGGAGAAAAGGCAGACTCTGAAAACTTAGCACGGACATACATGAATACAGTACGGAAACGAAAAGGTCTCAAAGTGGATGAGAAGATTGTAGAACATGCAGAAAAACAGAGAACGTTAAAGAAAAATAAATAGTTACAAACATGTTGATTCTAGGTTTTTTTTTGGAGGGGGGGGGGTTAATTCTAAAATTTGAGGTCCATCAAAAAGTAATAGGAAAAATAAACAGAAATAAAATATTTTTAAAGAATTTCTGCACCTTTTGTCTTTTTTTTTCTGGATACCTGACAGTTTTTCATTTTGCAAAAACATGACTCGAATTGAATTTACAAAGTTTAGATTATTATAGCACACAGCCATTAATCTGAGGCACTCACTAAACAGTTTTTTTTTAATAGATTTCTCTCTCTCCCGATGTCTCTCAACATTCTGTCTCTCTCTCTCTCTCTCTCTCTCTCTCGTTTTCTCCATTTCATTATGCTCCTTCGCTTTCACTCTCTCTCTCCTTTTCATTTTTTGCTCTCTCTCTCTCTCTCCTTTTCATTTTTTGCTCTCTCTCTCTCTCTCCTTTTCATTTTTTGCTCTCTCTCTCTTTTTTCATTTTTGCTCTCTCTCTCTCTCTCCTTTTCATTTTTGCTCTCTCTTCTCTTTTTCATTTTTTGCTCTCTCTCTCTCTCCTTTTCATTTTTTGCTCTCTCTCTCTCTCCTTTTCATTTTTTGCTCTCTCTCTCCTTTTCATTTTTTCTTGCTCTCTCTCCATCATTTTTTGCTCTCTCTCTCTCTCTCTCTTTCATTTTTTTCTATTTTTTTTCGCTTCCTCTCTCTCTCTATTTTTTTTTTTTGACATTTTTTTTGACCTTTTCAGTTTTAACTTTCTCTCACTTTTTATCTCTTTCTCTCTCTCAAAATATCTTAAGATTTACTTTTTTACATCACTTCATTTAATCAGTAATAACAGTATTCCATTAAATTATACATTTCAAAACAAAAAAAATGAATTATTGCGAAAATGAATATAAGGGAGATAACTCTTCCATTTTGTTTAGATTAAACTAGAAAATATCGTTAAATTCTGGCGTTTCAGTCTGTACAAGAGCTTCCCTCCCTCTTTATTAAATGTTGCTTTACAAGTGTTACTCAACAATTTTGAACCTTCAGAAAAATGAGTTTCAAAATGAGTTGCGTCATTGTTGTTGGCGGAAAGAGTTCATTCCCTTAGATTGATTTTTAAAAAGGTAAGATTTTTTTTTTTTTTTTTTTTTTTTTTAATTTTTAAAACTTTTCAGAATTAACAATTTATTACAATCACTTTATAATTAGAATAATTTCAATGTCTAATTCTTAGTCTTTTATCTTCTCTGTTTCTTTTTTTCTTTTCTTTTTTAATTATCTGTGAATTACCATGAATTTTGGGGAAAGTTAGAGGAGTGGTTTCTCATTGCCTTCTCCGCAGTATCAAATTTAGCTCTCCAAGACTAACTCCCTGCTAACTAAGAAAGAAAGTGAACACAATAGACTAGGCCAGAACCTGAACACCCTGGACTGATAACCATGACACTAACTATTGAATTTTCTTACAATCTTCATTTAACAATCATAATTATTTGTTTTTTTTTCTTCCATCTGTGCTGATTTGTCAACACAGTCACTGGCCACAATCTGTTCAGATATACACACACCATTTTCAACAGTCTATGGAAATTTCATACTTTACTATAGTGAAGTAAATTGTTTCGTAATTTTTCTTTGTTCCCCTGTCAGGAACTGAACATCTGACCACCAAGTCAACTGCATACACTAATCAACTTTTATATCCATTAGGCCATTGTTCCAGAGGGAAAGGTGATAAAATTTTATCTTTTTCCTTTCATGTTGGATTTTGTTCTGTTAGGCATGTTAAAATTATCAGAGCTTCTGTATGGATTATTTCAGTCACTTTAGTTCCCAATGTTGCTTGCTGTTATTCTGAGTTCCCCCCCCCCCGCTTTTTTTTTTACCTTCACATATATACTTGTCTGACAAAAAACTTCTGCTAATAACTGTTCAATGGTATTGCCAAAATAGTCTATAAGAAAATGGTGTAAATGTTCTCGCTTTCCTTTTATTCACATGATGCATTAGAGACAAGACATGTCATGTTTCCCCTTCTGGAGGGTCTTTTGGTCACATTGAACACAACACAGTAAACAGCGTACAGTGCTTTAAGTCTAATTGACTACACACAACCAAACCTAGAGATAAAGAACTCTTTTCAAAATGCAAGTCTCTTTATAAAGAATCTTTCATAGGAACTTTGTACAAACATACATACAAAAATAGGACATCTCTACATATACACCTTCAATTCTGCCCTTTTGTATTCTTGCTATTTAGTTTGCTAAGGCAATAAAATATACTGTTAATTTTATATAATTATATGTATATTCATTCTTACTCTCTTCTTTGCGAAAACAATTCTATCACTAAATTGTCAATAAGATTCCCTAAGCTTTCTCCATTATACCAATGACAGCTATAGTTTACCTTGCCACAAGCTTAAGTTATTACACACACAGTTCTTCTTGATGCTCTCCTCTGATGAAAGCTTCTATTTGGTCAGCTATCTCCAAAGAGTGGTACTACTGTTGTATAGTTTACAAAACCTCTATCCTTCCCACCATGCATTTGATATAGTTTGAAAGTCTCCCGTCTACTGCCAAAGTCTACCAATCTACCTTTGTAATGCATTCGCTAGACCACTGTACCAGACAATCAGCTCCCACATGATCAGCCATACCTGACTTCATAGTCTTTCCAATGACTACAGCTTAGCTTGCCACAACTGTAAGGAATGCATTAAACAAAATTCTAATGTTCTTTATTTAACAAGTGCTTGATGAAATCCCTTGTGTATATGTGCTCTATTTCATCAATTGTAAATCCCAAGACTGTTAAAATATATATTGAGAGCACAATGAATACCTTTAAAAAATGTTTGTATAATCATCTTTCATCCTTTACTAATGCTGAAAAATGAAATATGACTTCACTTTCTAAACATTTTTGGAAATTGAAAGATGAAAAACAAAACACATAAAGTTAAATGGAAAATTCTTAAACAAACCAGAATCTGTAGATCCATGACTGAATCATGTTTACTTTGTCTACAGGAGAAAATTGAGATAATTAGTGATCAATTATTAAATCAGAGATATGAAACTACGGTGAATTGCAGGCATATTAAGGAATTAACCTTACAATCTTTTTAAATTTTATAATTTGATAATCACTCCTCTTATGTTATATTACCTTTATATAAACATAATAGTGAAATAAAATAATGATTTCTTATGTCTTTCCGGTTTTTTTTCCTCTTTCTTTTTCTTTTTATTGATTTCTTATTTACTTTCCTTTTCTACTTTAATTTGCTTTTTCCTTTCATAGAATGAATAATTGTTTATATATTTGTCTCTTTGCCTTATGTGGAAAATTTTCAAAAATGTTAAAAGAAGTGATGTTTCATAAATTGTATTTTTAATTAAAATTGTTTATTACCACCATTGTTAACCACCTGATGAGACATCCTTAGAAACAAATATACATTTTATGTCACAATAATTTGCATGTTCCAATGTAACAGTTTATAATAAATATATATATATATATATATATATATATATATAAAAGGAAAACTATTCTTCACCAACCCATTTCATCCTGATGAAACACATTGATAAAAAATAATTTTCCTTTTGTTTTTATTCATATTATCTTTTTACAGACATATATATAATTGTGCATTTGGGCAACAATCCCTCTTTTATACAAATTTCTTTAAAAATGATTGACAAGGTACTGTGGTTAAGTTTTTTATTTAATTTTTCTTGTGTTCTTATAATTTTCTTCTTTTCTGGATATAAATTATGCAAAAATTGCCCAATTGTTAAAAATGTTTCCATAATTTTTTAGCCTTTTTTTTTTTACATGTGGATGAGGCTATTATATTGTATTATATTGGCTATACTACAACATGTCTAACAAGAAGACTTACGTTACATCTCTCTGACCATAGCTCAATTAGGTCTCATTTAAATAAACATGGAGACCTACCAAAATCCATTCAACACATGTAACAATCCATACATTCTGTTAAAAGTAAAAATAAAATAATCCAAAAGCACTCAGACATACAGAACATTCGGACAATTTCTACATAATTTATGTCCAGAAAAGAAGAAAATTATAAGAACACAAGGAAAATTAAATAAAAAAACTTAACTGCAGTAGGTTGTCAGTCGTTTTTAATAAAACTTTATGTGAAATATCTGACAAAATAAAAATGGAATGTCAAATCCAGTTGGATGTTGATAATAAATAATCCAACATCCAAGTAGCTTTTTACATAAAGATGATTGAATCCTGAAAAGTTCTCAGTCCAACTAAAAAAGGATTCCAAACAATTCTGGTCAGAATTTAGGAAGCAAGTTAAACTGACATGGAATGAAAAGACTTTATTGAATCCATTGCTAGGTCAGCTGCTAAGTAAGTTGGTTCACTGTGTCATGCAAGACAATTTTTCTCTCCAGAACCTGTCTTACACATCTGTAAGTTTACCATTCGTCTATGCTTAGAATATTGCTGCCACATCTGGTCTGATGCCCCTGCTATTTAGCTTGAGCTCCTTGATAAAATCCCAAGAATCAGCAACATTGCTAGCCCTGATATGTCGGCTCAGCTCCAGTCCATAAGGTTGCCTCTCTGTGTCTTTTCTATAAATACTTTCATTGTAATTGGTCAGATAAGCTCTTTGCTATGGGACCTAGATTTTTTTTAATTTAAACACAGTACAAGACTGGCATTGAAATCTCTTCAATCTACATTTGAACTGGTTAGATGTATCCATAAGTTCTATGCTAACAGTTTCTTCTCTCACACTTCTCGCTTGTGGAAATCCCTTCCAGCTTCATGCTTTCCAGCCAACTTTAATTTACAAAAATTTAAATGCAATGTCATTTGCTATCTACTGTCCTGATTACTCTTTTCTCTTCCCACTCATTATTAATGTTTCTGTTCCTAATTCTTTCACACTTTGTATCTTAGTGACTTTACTGCCTTGCATGGGGTGATACTGATTTAAAAAAGCATCCTGGGTAAGACGATAATCTACATCCACATCCTGGGTAAGATGATAATCTACATCCAACAGCCTCTGATCAGGTTTTAAGGGACATGGAACCACTTCTTAATTGCTGGTATTCCCAAGTCCACCCTGACCCTGTTAAGGTCCCAGCTGTAGGCAAATAGTTGACTCTCAAAATGGGGTCAAAACACTATGAAAGTGTAAAAATAGGTTTTAATACAAGCAATACTTTTTTGTAAAAGGTTATTACCAGCAAGGAATTTTTGAAGAAAAAAATTATTACCAGCAATATATTTTTGAAAAAAAATAATTACCCGCAATGAAATTCTTGTCAGCATTAAATAACCCATAGAGGTTAATATGCCATAAAACAAACCAAACCAAAATGATTTTTTAAAAAAAAGCCAAGGACTTATATATTTGTATGTTGGAGAGTAATCAAGAAAGAAGGAATTTGTCAACAATCAACATCTGAAGAAAACCAAATTGTTGATTGAAGTAATTGGTAATTTGCTAAAAAGTATCACATTTTAAAACACATCTAAAGACAGGAAGTTGAAATTGTCAAGCAGATTGTTCTTCTTTCTCAACAAATATGTTGGCTTACAACATATCAAACAGCAGTTCTTGTCCAATCACCAGAATTAAGCAATGTCAGTCATGATCAGTACTTAGATGGGTGACTACTTGGGAATGCCAGGTGCTGTAAGCTTGGATGTGCAGGT